GCAAAAGCAGTCCCGATCAACAGTTTCTGCGGCCTCATATGGCCATTCCCTTGCTCACTTTCCGTAACTCGGGGCGAGCAGCGCGGGGTTTCGGATTTCCGGCACATGCTCATCCAAAGGTTTGGCTTGTCAGATTATGTGTCTCATGCTGCTCCTACTCCTAGTAAGATTGTAGAAAGACCCCCAAACGGAAGGATCATTCAGCCGCGAGAGATCGTAATCGCTTTCTCGCGGCCTTGCAGTTTGGAAGGCCACTACCAACTTGCCGTTGAACTACAATGCGAACACTTCTTGCTGACAACCTTCATCTTGTTACTGAGTGAGATGCAAACAAAAGCGTGTATTCCCTGGAATGTCTTACGCGTGTAACTGGGAATGTCCTCAGTGCTACTAGCCTGTGCTCGAGCTCGTGAACATTTGAGGGATGGTCGGCTCCCCCAAGTTCTGTTCTTCATTCCACGTCCGTCGTGCCTGAAGTGCATCTTTGGCCTCTCGACGTCAGACTCTTTAACTTCCCTTGAACCCTGAACCCTGAAAGGAACAACCCGTGGGCTGCAAGGCGAAGAGCGGCGCTGGGACGAGATTCTCAGGGAGATCCTTCAGGCAGCTTCTTTGCAGAGGCTGTTTGCGATTTAGTTTAGCGTTAGAGTTTATGGCATGCAGTAACTGCACGATGCTTCCCGTTCTGACACGGTGCTCCAAACAGTTTGCGCACGTTGCAGTCACCAACGGGCACCTGTCAGGCACGCGAGGGTTCCGTTCCGCTGTCGGAGCTGAGCGAGACTGTGAAGATGTCCCAGGCCTGGGTGGTTCGAGATGCTCCGACTTGTGCAGATTCGATCTCGACATCTTGTGGACCCGACGCAGTAGTCCATCTGGTGCCCAAACTGTGTCAGCCTGTGTTCTTTGGTCTTCGGTTCGACATGGGCTCTAGCAGGAGACCTTGCTGGTCTTGCTGAAGCAATCGGAGCAATTCCACATTGCCTCGTTGTCACCCGGCTGCCCTGGATCAGGGTTGCAGGGCTTTGGCCCGCGAGGGCCTGGATCGAGATTCCTGGGCGTGCTCCCCAGAATTGCCAACCGTGTCTTTGCCCTTGTGTTCGTCAGAATCAGGGTCGATTAGGGTCACCTTGATTTGTCAATTGTATTTTACTGACTGCTTTTGCCTCCCCCCTTGTTGAGCCAGTCTGTGTTGTTTAGCTTCACTGTGTTTTGCAAATGTCACTGTTAGATATGTCCCTCGATATGCCCTTAGGCCCGCCCTTCTTCTGACCCCCAGCCTTTTTCGACCCCATATCAGCTATTGGAACCCCCTGAATGCTGCAGCCGGCAGCGGCCATTTTGTTGACCCCCAAACATCGGTTGTCTGACCCCCGATCCATGTGACGAACAAGGCAACAAAGAAAAGAGTCAAAAGATAAGAAGCTAGAAAAGGCCAGGGGAAAATGTGCAGTACACCTCAAAAGCAGTTCATCATGCATCTAATGTAATAGTAACAACAACATCATCCGGGCCAGTAGTGGGACGCCTTGTAAATGCCGACGGTGCAAAGTCAGTGCTTTACGGTTATGCGTGGCCTGCATAGTAAACTGCTTGTCGTATCATGCGGTGGCTGCAACATGTTACATTCTCGTCGTTTTCGTTTGGTGGTTGTATGCATATGCACTTGTTTTGAACTTGTCGATTCTTGAAGATGCGTTTCGTGTTGCCTGTGTGGTGCGCAAGCCTGCTTTCCGAATCCTTTCGTGAGCATTTCAGTCTTCAAAAGCTTCCTTGCGTTTTACGTGCACTAATCGTGCGTGCCATGGGGCCAGGCGACGACAATTTTGCATCTTTGGAATTTCGGGCTTGCCTCTGGTGCAGCCAGCCTGGGAAAATTTTCTTTTTCCTTTCCAGCAGTGAACTTGGTTTTGGAGGCAGTGCGGCATGTTTGCTGCCCCATCGGTTGCACTGCAGCATGTCTCCCGTTCCCATTTCCCGGAGACGTGAGGCCACCCAATCAACCACCCCCTTGCCGCAACCCCAGCAGAGAAAACACTGCAAAGGCCGATATCTTCGGCACGCCAAGCAGAGGAAGCACGATAAGAGCCTTTTTCGGCATGACCGGAACACTAACCGTATCGATGTTTTCGCGATGTGAAGCACGCACAGTGACAGTAAAGATCTATGAATCGACCTAAATCCGAACCCTGCAAGCCCTCAACCCTAGATCCCTTTATGAACGAAAGCTGTGCCCCGATTGATTCGATCCAAAGCCCAGCCGAGATCATTGAGCAAGTCTCTCTGTAGGTTTACATAGATATTATAGCCAGGTCCTCAGACAGAGAACCCAAACGTGAACTCGTCGCCTGCAACCTACTGTAATGCCTGACACTAAGGGAGTCCGATTCTCTGGTCTCCCTCGCCGACTGCCCGGCTGGAACCGGGTTCCAACAGCCTCAGAGGCTCAGTTCACAAGCTTCGGGGTTTTGGGTAATTTCCAAAAAGATCATGTTTCGCAAGTAGTCTAAGTCCTGAAATCACGGCTTTGTTGGGGTCTCGTCTCTTCGAAAACTCCGAAATTGCTCTTGCAAATGGGATGCGTTTGCCCCTCTCGCTATACACCTGCCAGATCCCAAGCTTTCGACCCTGCAAAGGTGGCCCTTCATCTGTCGGAATCATGTATCTTTTACCCTTAGACTCCAACCCGGCGCTCGGAGACTCAGCTGTTGGGGGTCTTCGCGTTTCTAGGCCTGAGGGTTTGTGAATCTCCGCCCTGGCTCCTCAGATGTTTCTTCGTCTTTATCTCCCCCCTTCTCAACCCTCCGAATCGCCGTTTACACGGCATGGAGGGGGTCTTGTGTTCCGGCTTTGCCGTTGTCGGTGGCAGAGGCAGATTTAGTGCAACCAAGGCCTCTTGTACTACAGAATTCAAAGCAGCAGCAGCAGCTTATCCGGTGACGGTGCTAGACTAGGAAGTCGAATAGGCCGAATCCACGGAAAGGTCTTGTTCGTTCCAGGCTTGTGCCGGATTCTGAAACCTTTAATCCGGGGGTGGAGGGCGTGTGTGACATGTTTGTGTGGGTTCTTTGCAGGATGGACATCTCCTCGGATGCCGACGACTCCACGGTGGAGGCAACTGATCCACCGGGGGACATGAGCCTGGGGTACAAGACCTTCGCCGCCACACCTCGCCTAGATCTTCTGCTCTTGGATTTGCCACCTTTCACCGTTTTGTCCTTCTGCGCTAGCTGCTCTGTTGTTCCGAGCACTACAGCTAATTCTATGTTTTTCGTTACTTCTGCATCTATTCACGACATCGACGTCCAATCTCGACAGTTTGGAAAACTCCGTGCTTTCCAGAAATTTGCCCGACTGGCTCGATGTGAACAGGATGCCGAATATGGTTTGGAATTCTAGGCTTCGTTTTTGCAGTCATTCCTACATGGCAAGGTCTAGGGGAATAAGCACGTTTAGGTGAACCTTAACGTGTAGTGGCGACAAGGGCGACAAGAAAGCCGCTTTCCCAGCTTTCTATTTGCCCGACTGGCTCGATGTGAACAGGATGCCGAATATGGTTTGGAATTCTAGGCTTCGTTTTTGCAGTCATTCCTACATGGCAAGGTCTAGGGGAATAAGCACGTTTAGGTGAACCTTAACGTGTAGTGGCGACAAGGGCGACAAGAAAGCCGCTTTCCCAGCTTTCTACCCTCAACCCTAAACTTTATCCTAGTTCCTAAATCCTACTCCCTAAACCCCCCCTGAACCCCAAATCCCAAGCCCTAAACCCTACTCTGGGTGTTCCGAAAGCCCCTGCAGGCTGCGAGCCTCGAGGAGGAGCTGAGCCATCTCTTGCGGGCGAAGGGGGGCTCGATGCCTCTCGCGGAGATGGAATGGGCGGAGGCGGCTTCGGGTCGTTTAGGGTTTGAGGCCTGGGGGTTCCTTACTATAGTTATTATAGTATAAGGGGCCCCGAAACCCTATTCTAACTATTCAGCGGCTTCGGGTCGTTTAGGATTTGGGGCCTGGCTTGGGTTTCGGTGGGGTTCCGGATTTAGGACTTAAGGCCGGCTGCACGGGCCACTCGAAGACGTTGGAAATTAAGGATGGTTTTGAAGGCTTCTGCTACCTTTGCGTGATGCCCGGGTTGAAGCCCAAAGCTTTATGCAGGTGCCGGTGAGACTTTGTTGGAATTCGGGACGTCCTGTTTGAAGCTTTTGCAGAACCCATCTCCAACAGCCTGCAGGCGGCAACGAGCACAGGGAATCTCACGGCTGTGTCTTTAGCACCCTGATGCGGTGCTTTAACGCCAAGGAAAACCACAACACAGCTGCAAGCCCGTGAATCAGGAACATTGTCAGATCTTGGAAGCATGCTGCAGCTGCAGGTGTGCATGACGCACTTCAAGAACCTTCAAGAGTTGGCATCTTTCTTGGCAACTCGGCAGCAGTAGCCACTTGCAGCGTTGCAATAGTTGCCTCTTTCAACATTATGATTGCTATGATTGCTGCTGTCACTGGTGCATTTGTTGCTGCCATTGCAACCAACGACCCCACTAAACATATGATGATGCGGGATAGTGTTTTGAAGTTTCCGGCTATCGTCACAAGAATAGCGTTCATGGCCACTATACCTTCCCCGTTCCATTTAGTTTTCTATCTTTTCCAGGGTGTGGGCTTCTCTTCGGGGGTTCGAGTGGGACTCCGGAGGGTTTTTGAATGGTGTCTGTTTGGCTGTCCGTTCTTCGGAGGCCGGGTTCACGGGTTCCTTCTCTCGTGGTGTGCAAAACTGGATGTTCATTATTCGGCTTTCGGGCAGTGCGCGCAGCCTTCTAAGGATGTGGGGGTTGCGGAGTCTGATTCTGGAAGATAGCGTCCCAACACCTGACCTTTGTCAAAACATATTCGGCGACCTCATTGTTGGCTGTGGTTCCAACTTACCACCGAAAATGCCCTGAGATATTCAAGCCTGAACCCCGACAGCCGCACTAGGATCCTCTGCTTCTTCGAACGAGCTCCCAGGAATCTCGACCCCGACGCTTCTCCGTGCGCTGGGAGGGCACCCAACAGGTCCCAAACGATCATGTGGGCAGGGAGGGAGGTCGGGAGGCACTTGCAGTTCGATTGTACAACAGGGGTGACATCTGTAAAGATACTTTTCGGATCACCAAGGCTCGAGCAGTATTGGGACGCTATTTGTAGCAAGGGCCATAAGGAGTATATTCTTTCACATAGCTCGGGGCCTGAAGACTCAATTGGCATACTTGAAGCCCTGAGGCGAAGCTGGTGGGATCACAGAAACCGTCCCAAGCCTTGTGGTTCTTGCATTCGGGGGGCTGCTGCTACGAGGTTTTCTGACCAGCCGATCTGAGAGGTGGCAGGGGAAGCCTTCATCCTCCAGTTCCAACCCCAAATGTCCCTGAGCCCTTTTCCACACATAGCCGCCAGGTTCGGTGTGCCCGCAGAAGGCCTGTAAAAATGCTTGAACACTTCGTACTGTAGTACTGTAGCTTCGTACCCTACACTCTGTACTAGCTTGAAAGTACAGCGTCTCCAACATCGTACTGTTGATGGACAAAATCCTGCATGACCCTAAGGACTCTAAACTATGGGAAGTATAGTATCTTCCTCATAGTGGGTAATGCAAAATTTTGTGCATGAAGAGTAGTAACCGTTTACGAGGCAGCTCGAAGCTTGTGCTTCTGAATGTAGGCCTTTGCAGGCAAGCCCTTGAGTCAATCGGGGCGGGTGCGAATCTGAACAAACCACCCTAAACCATGCAGCAACCAATACGCCCTCCCATATGCTAGAGCATAGCCCTCAAACTATTAAAGCAACAACTCCGCACTTATCGCTGAAACCTGCACTTACACCATAAACCCTGAAGCTGAAGCCCTTGACGCCAGGTTGTGGAAGATATGCTTCCCACCTTCGAGGCTGGACCAGAAGCCTATGATCGGACTTGCGGCTACCAAGCTGTCTTTGATTATTGCCGCCTTTGACGGTTTGACATGACTCAGTGGGTGCGATCTCTGCAATCAACTTTGGAGGTCCGTACTATGGTAACAGCAGAACCAATTCTGCTGGTTCTGGCAATCACACACAAGCCTGCACTCCTGGTTATTGAGGGGCATCGCCACCTCCGCTCACGCAGGCCCAAGCGACAGCACAGTAGACCCCGGTTGCACTGCGGTTTCAATCAGCCAAGCCGCTGAAACTCTAGGATGCCAGCTGCCATGCGAAATGTACAGCTCGCTGCTTTGGCATCGGCCTTCACAGCCGCGGCTTCTTTGTCAGTGCCGCTGCACGCAACGTTTTGGGGGGGCCCAAGGCTGCTCGTGGATGTCGCACCCGAAGCTGCGACCGGCAAACAGGTCCTTGGGCTCAGAAGAAACCTATCTATATACACATAATATTATATATATATATATATATATATATGTACATATATATACTTCCAGATATAGATATAGATGTGCAAACTCAACATCCACAGCACGTTATGTAGTATGGCACATCTTGTCTGCATGGCATTTTGTATAGACTGCCGCCTGATACAGACCCACAATCCACGAAAGAACATGGCAAGAGCGCAAGATCACAACTCAGAAACAGCCCAGGTGGCTTCACAGAGACTTTTGTTGGACACCGGATCTTCCACGCTGGCTTTCTGTGAGCAAGGACTGCTCCAGCAGACGCTTTACGAGATGACGGACTATGTGTCCTGCAACGCCTACAACCCAGGCCGCCCGGCTTCTCTTGCACACTCCAGGGCTCAAGATTCGTGTGATGCTGACTGCGACTGCTGAGGTTTTCTGGCTATTGCCACGCTAGGTATGGTAGATGCGAAGTCTGTGAGTTCTTAGCGGTACTACTGCTATCAGCACGGGTCGGCCTTGCCAATACTGATGTATTGTCGGTTCTGCGATGGTTGCAACCGTGAGCATGAGCATCACCATCATCATCATCACTTTCGGCAGGTTCTAGGTTCGTTGATGATTGTGTATTTCGTGGGCTTGCTTCAGCTTCTGCTACTTTCTCCGAAGCAGGTGCCTGATCGGCAGTTGGACTAGCATTGTTGCGACGAATGTGTTAACTCTGCAGACTTGCCAGGCTTTGCCCGTCTCTCTGTCTGTCAGTTAGATATGCTGAGTTTCACTTGCAGCATGTCAATACTTGGTTTTGTTCAGGACGAGCGTTTTGGGCAGTTTTCTAGTTCTTCGGGTCTAGGTCCACACTCTGAGTGTGCTTGATTCTTGTAGTTCGTCTTCTGTACTGGTATAGCTTCGTTGTGCACCCTGAGGTGGCAACTACACAGGATATTGGGGGCCTTTCGTGGTCGGCGATCTCACCGCAGGCAACCTATCCATGCACAACTCCACCTACAGTGTCATGGCAAACCAGGCCTGAGATTGCAACCCTCGCTGGCCTAGCCCTGCAGTGCCCTTAAGGCCCCAAGCCCTAAACATCTCTCCATGATCCCAAACCCTGAAGCCCTAAGACCACAAACCCTGAACAGAATCCTTCAAACAGGTCGGTATGCCCTGCGGCGATGGCGTTGAAGGGATCTTCGGAATTGCTTTCCAGCAGCTCGATGCCCCCTGGCGAAGATTCCGTAGTATTTGGGAGACCCCTTAAATTGGAGGCGACCCTGTTGAGAGGGTCTTTATCCCCAAGGGCCCCCCCTACTCCGTGGTGGTTCAACGTTGGTTCCAGTAGCAACCATGGCAAAACCCATTGCTGTAGCAAGGAAAGGTGAAAAGCATCCAAGCTCGAACATCCAGGCAGGCGTGCCCGTCGAGTCTTTCTCGAACTGGAACGACACCGCATCGTGCCCCATCAAGAACGAAACGTTTTTGCCGCCACCGCTGCTGCATCAGCTCCAGGCTTCTTGAATGCTCAGCCTCCGTTTTTCTTTGATATGGATGGTTGTTAACATTAGGTTTTGGGTCCCTAACATAATACGATACGGCACCTATTTTTTTAGGGTAGCCAAAAAGGGAACCTAACTCCTGACAACTACCCATATCTTTTGAGGATTCCCAACTCATCTTTAGAGTTGAAGAGAGCAACCGTGCAGGTGGTTCGGTGTAGTTTCTGGAATGACATGAAATGGGAGTTTGACAAAATAGGGGTACCTTATTTTGGGGTCCTTATAATACGGATCCTACGATTTAGGGTGCTATATTAGAGCGGAAACCCCAAATGCTTGTCTCGATGTCACCAACTTTGCCTTGGAGCTTCCCATGCAGCTAAGGCTTCCGGCGGTGTGGAAGCCTTGCTGAAGATTGACGGTCAGGGTTTGAGGTTTGAGGGTGTAGATTCGGGTTCTTGGGACTCGCTTGGGCTTAGGGTTTCATGTCGTCTAAATGCAGACACATAGGGTATCACTGAACCTCCGAACAGTAGGGAAGACAATTCTAGATATTCTCATCAGGATCACCATCGAGACCAACGGCAGCAGCAACAGCACTGTGAGAATCACCATGGTCTTCAACATCCTCATCAGCAGAATCCGGACCATCATCCTCACCTGCATTGCTTCCATTCTCTCCAACTTCATCATCGTCACCGGCAGAATCCTCGGTTCATCCTCAGCTTCGTCGGTGCCGACCACCATCGCCATCATCATCATCATCATCATACATACTGGCTCAGTAGGACGTTGATGTGTACAGAGGCACTTAGGGACACTGTGCTTTGCAATGACGCAAAGTATGGTTGTCGTGTGGTAGCACCGCATTGGAGTAACACCTGACCTCAAGCACCCTAAACCCTGGAAAAGTGGTATGTTCTTGTGAATGGGTAAAAATTTGGGGCCCACAGCATTCCTTTCTGCATGTCTAAGGAGATGCTGGGCATCTACTGGTCCGGAGACATTGGAGAAGAGCAGGCGAGGCTCTACATCGATGAGGATGCCGTAAACGAGCACTACGACGCCGAATCCGTTGTGGGCCCTGTTGCCTTTGGGGAGCTGGGCTGGTTTGACGTGAATATTCAGCGGATCTCCGTGGGTGATGAGGAGTTTGTGGGCTTCAACTGCACAGGGAGGGCGATCGGCCAGTGCACCATGGACACCGGAACCCCTACTCTATTCTTGCCACAAGCTGCGCCTCAGCTGCCCAGCCGTCGCGCCTTTGCACCGGGTTTAGGGTTCAGAGCCCTGCTTGCTTGCAGGGATGCGATCGCAGGCTTTTCCTCGGCAGTGATCATGCTGATGATCGGCCCACACAGCCTCAGCCCTCAAACCGAAGGCGAAAGTCAGCCTGAAACCCCACCTCAGAAGGGGCAAACCCTGTGATCTTGAGAACCTCCTGAAGCCAGAACCCTTGTAGAACCGTTTCGAAAGCCATTATAGCAGCCCTTCTGGAAGCCTTGGCATAGAGAACCTGTATTATACTGGTCAAAGCATCAGTGGTGTTAATAGCAACAATCACAGTACAGCTTTCTGACAGCGACAGTATTCGTCATGATATTAATCAGAGATATGATATTTATTGATACTTGTATAGTGCCATGGTTGCCAGCCAGTACTTCTCGAAATGACGAGGTAGTCAATCACTCCAGCCAGCTGCTGGAGCAGGGCGAGTCCGCCAACCTCACCATTTGGCTCCTTTGGAGCCTTTCAGTTTGGGATTTTGTTGTGGAGGTTTTTGGCCTTGGAGTTTGTAGCTTTGAGGTTTCGGGTCTGACTACGGAGGTTGAAGGCTTTTTGGCTTTGGATTCGGCGCTTGAAGCTGCGGGCATTGCATTGGAGGTTTTGAGTGTCGTGTGTTGGCGTTTGTGGTTTTGAGTTAGGGGCTGCAGGCTTTGTGGTTTTCTGGTGGTCCTTGCCAAGCAAAGTGCCCCGCAGGACCTGGTTTCTATGACCTGCTAGAACACGAATCATCCCAACTACTCATGGCTAGGTACATCTGAGGCCCCGGACACAAAGCCATGAATACTCTAAATGGGGCGTTTCCGAAAATAGGGTACCCTAATTGATATAGCAGTAGGATGACTATTTTCAGGACCCCCATTAGCCCCGTATAAAGCCCTTTAAAGGAAGAAACCCTTTAAAGGAATCCTAAGCATGCCAAATCCCTAACCAGAACAACCCCCAGGCTTGAAGGAGCCTCCGGAGAGGCAGTGCCGGTGTCCTTCGATCTCGCCGCCCTCGGCGACTTGGACCTCGAAGGAGTTTGTATCCAAGTAAAGTACTAAAGGGCTGTGGCTTTAGGGCTTCCGTCTAAAGTTTTAGGGGTTTGGGGTTCAGTGTGTAGGGTTTAGGGCGGTGTCGTCCTCCTAAAAGGGCATGCCTTGTTCAGCGTCCTGCTCTTTCCTTTGCCCTGCCAAAGACTCGCATCTTGCTCACAAACACTCGCTCAATAACCCGAAATCTGACATGAACCCGAAACCCAAAGGTCTAAGAGCTTCCACACCGAATCTGAGAGAAACTAGCATGGCCCGCAAAAAAAAGCGCCCAAAGGCAACAACTCTCTGGAGGGCAACTCCCAAGACAGCAGCGACATTATCCTCGGAATGCCCCTTTGGGCCTTCTACTACACGGTCTTCAACATCACGGGCCACTCCGTGTCCCTGATCCCACATCCGCGCCCTGAGCCATATGGGAGTTTCCGAAAATTCCGGGTACCTTCTTTTGGGGTCCTTATAATAAGGATCCTTCTATTTAGGGTGCTATATAAGGGTCCCCTACTTCCAGAAACAGCCACATTGGGCTTTCAGATCAGGCTTGCTCTAGCGGGATTCAGGGGACGGAGGTAGATGGGAGTTTCCGAAAAAAGGGCCCCAATATCCAATATAGTAACCTAAATAGTAGGCTCCTTATTGTAAGTACCCCAATAAAGGTACCCCTAATTCTCGGAAACTCCCATATCCAAGATGGCATATATGGGAAACCACGCATCCTTCATCATGCCCGCCTGTGATGTTGACAGCAGTTTTGCAGATCTACAGCATGTCCCAACGCCTGACCCTAGCACAAAGCCCACTCACTTTGATTTAAGGTTCCTGAATCGTAAGTTCTGAACCTCATACCCTTCCACCGCAAAGAAAGCAGATAGGATCGAAGCTGCAGCTGCCATTCCTGTGGCGGAAAACTTCGTGGCGGAGAACGATCCCAGCCCAGGCTCCCCTCTGTCTTAAAAGGCCTACACTTTAAGGAGTCGGAATAATTAGAACAGGGTCTTGGGGCATGTTCTGCTGTAAACATACCGGTGTGATATTGGGACCCCCTTTTGCTAGCGATTCCAACCTCCACATTAAGCCACATAACCCTCATCTCCAAACTCCCAAGCCCCAAAACCGTCAAGCCTTGAAAGTTTCAAGCACCCAAAGCCTTCAAGCCTTAAACACCAATCCCCGAAATTTAAGTTCAGTGAACTAAAACAGCAAAGCAAGAAGCCCGGATCACCTTCATTTTGGAGAGAACTTCTCATGACTAGCCTCGGGTTCGGAGCCTGTAATGAGAAGTCAGGGAGAGCCGCTAAAATGAACGGGAAGAGTTGAGGGGTTTCAGGGTATAGCGAATATGGTTTAGGGTTTAAAGGGCTTAGGGGAACATGTAGTTGTGGGTTGCACAGGGTTTCATTCTTAAGACATGGGATGCCTCATGAAGCTAAGAAGGGATTCTGCAGGTCTATGCTAATTTTGGGATTGCTGCCCAAGAGCTTCGAGCTTCTCGTTTCTTTGAAAGAACCGGTTGGTGTCGACCACCACACCTTCTACAGAAGACTGTGTAGATGGCTCCGGGTTTCAGGACGTGTGTTTCAATTGCTTCTTGTTGACGAGGGGGTCCTGGTAGACTGGCGCCAAGGCTTGCAAAATTTGAATATACTTCTGTCATAAAAAACTACTCTTTAGTATGTAATATATTATGTTACAGTTCATTGTGTCATATCTTTCCAGCACTGCCACAAAATCGGACGAGTGCTTTCTTGTGGCATTCCCATGCAACCGTCCCCAAGCGCGCTTCAGGCCCCTTCGGTTCCCTGGCCATATTGTCGGGGCGAAACCCATTGCTTAAGGTTCCTTGGCTTGAAGCCCCCTGCCAGGTCTGGAGGAGCCACCGGTGCATGTTTGAGGAGTCTTTCCTCATCTTTTGTCTGACCTGGATGCACAGTGTTCGGAGGAGTTTGCAGGTTTCAAGAAACATTGGACCTCTGTGTAAAGTGGAGTGGCAGTCGCCTCAGTGGCGCTGACTCTGCGGTGGCTCCGCCGACGTTGTACAGGAACGCTAGCATCATGGATAATGTATAGAAGAGTTCAATGCAATTCAAAAAGTCCGTGGCTGCATAAGAGGGTTAGAGGCACTGGATAGCTTCCGACCACGGAAGCATGCGCAGCAGGTCGGGTCGTCATACTGCCCACAAGAGTGACTTAGACTGAAGTGCTACCTCCCATGCGGGTACCCGTTACGAAGCAGTATGCACTGTCAGAGAAGATCCCTCGAAGCCTTAGCTTTAGGTCTAGGTCAGAGGCAGTGAATTCAAGGGCGGTCTGCATGAGTGCTGCTTGTTTTGCCCCCCCCTTTGCCTGAAGCAGGCTGCAAGATTGGAGGTGGTGTCGCCGCAGCCGCCACTTGGCTTCAGTTGGCCCTGGGCTGACCTCGATCCTAGGCCAAGCAGCATTTCTGGTGTATTGCCCACTGGGCAATGCGCGAAGCAGCACTCCAATGGACTTTCTCAAACCGAAATTTGGACCACGAAACGTTAATCCTTCGGAAAACGAACCCAAAACGTGGAGCACTGTTCCAGTTTCCGCAAAACTGCTGCCCACAGTTTTCGGCGAGGATGCCCCGATGCCCGATACCCTCAACCTCCGCACCCGAACTTCCAAAATTTCCGGAAATCCCCAAGTCACGACCCAACCTCCCAGCAAAACTCTCCGGGAGTTTCCGAAAATAGGGGACCCATATATAGTTCCCCAAATAGTAGGATCCTTAGTATAAGGATCCCCAAATAAGGTACCCCTATTTTTCGGAAACTCCCACATCCCAGCGCACAAGCATAGGCCCGAGCCCGAGCCGCCTCCGACTCCGGCGGCATCTCTGCCAGGCCTCCCCTCAGAGCGGCTCATACTACTGCTGCTACTACTACTACTACTACTACTACTACTACTACTATGATGATATAAATCCTGCATTACCCATAATAAGGAATATGTGGGAATTTATGGTATATTCCTTATTATGGGTCATGCAGGATTTGTATCATCAGCAGTACTACCACCGCCACGACTACTACTACTGCTGCTACTGCTACTACTGCTGCTGAGACTGCTACTGCTACTGCTACGACGATGATTACTACTACTCATAATCGTGCCAAGCAAATGAATCATGCGAAATATAGGAATATGCCGAGCAAGAATATGGTAATAAAATCAGAGTACTAACCATGGAAACAAATGCAACAGTAATGCAAACAATACTACTACTAAACCTAACAATATGAATAATGATGAAGGCTTCAACAATAAGGAGAACCAAAAACAAAAAAATGAGTAATGAAGATAGTACAAGTAATAGTGGTAACAATAATACTATCACGAAAACAATAGCAAGAGTCATGATTATGATCATAGTCATAGCTGTGGCTGATAGTGTTAATAACAATAGTACCAACACTAACGACGGTAACCATTGTGCTCAAAGAAAATGCACACTAACAACCAGACTAGTAGCAGTCGGGATCCTGGTGGTAACGCTCTTAACGGAAAAGGGGGGGTCTTATCGGAAGCTTGGGAGGGGTTTACAGTAGGGTGGCCAGGGGTTGCTTGAAATTTAAGTTGACGGCAGTCGAGCTGATTAGAATGTAGAGTTTCGGGGTTGAGGTTTCCTTATGCTGATGAAGGTTTGGGGTTCGAACGTCGAAAATGTTTTTTTGGATTTAGGGATTTTGGCGTTAGTTGAGGGTCCTGGCATTTCAATCGACTAGGGTAGCGGGGTATTCAAGCTCCTTACGAGGTTGGTCAGGTTTTGATCTGTGGAAGAAGCTTCGTGATGCTGGCAGCCGGGGGGTGGGGAGGTGTCTGATACCTGGAAGGCCTCTATAATCAGCCAGGGTGAAACCAAAGTAGGACTAATACCATGAGCCGACAGAGTATCTACGACAACAATAGTACAGTTTTTTGATAGCTGACATGAAGCTTGCAGGAGGCACTTCCAAGATCGACGGCCCGGACGTTTCGGAAGCACCTCCGGGCTTGGAGGCAGGCTTTCCAGGGGCCTGGGGGCATTACTTGCAGGTTCTGGGTAGTTATAAGTGGAGCTATAAGTCCCCTGATATGAGTTCTAGTTACAGTTACTTTACTTAAAAAACCCACTTATGACTACCCATGAACCTCTAAGTACAGGTGGAATGGCATTAGGCGGTATTAGGGCCTTTACCATGGTGCTACACATGCTCCTGCTACCGTGCTACTGCGACGACCATTACTACTTACTACTGCTACTGCTCCTGCTCCGACTGTTGTTATTGATACTTATGATACTTACAATCGAAATGTTAAGACTCATAGCAATGATTAATAGGAATGCCAACAGCACTGTCAGTGACAATAGCTGTAGCCATCATAATCGAAACACTAGCAACAGCAGTATATTCATAACAGTTGCAATAATGTTCAACATGGTAGTTAGGTTATGGTGATAATAGCATGATGCAGATGAGCGTTGTAGTGTTGATAGATTTGGTGGCGGCTTTCCCGCCTCAGGGTGTGTCGGGCTCCTACATCAACCAGGTATGGCAGATCCACACTCCGCGCCCTGCTTCTGAGCCCATGGAGGACTCTACGCGACTTCGGGAGCCTTAGATTTCACAAGCCGCAGGTTGAGGAGGGAGGATTGGCCTCTTATTTGAGCACGTGCTTGTGTAGCCGAAGCAAAACAGGAAACCAGTATTCAAGGAGTGAGCTCACAGAGAACATCTCTTCTTTCTAAGTTTGGAAAACTGTTGATGCATGCAGCCACGACTCGAACACGAAAAACATCCACTTCATCCCTCCATTCGAAGAACTCTGGAGCTGTTGAGTCTATTAAACAGTCCAAAGGTCCCCAACTCCAACAATCCCTGACAACAGATCTCCTAGGAAAGGGTTCGCGTGTGATTATCTCTCGCAAAGCCTTGAACTTTCCAAGCCGCAGTCCGTCACCAAGCCGCTGGGAATCCACTGCCGTTGGGGCGGCTGGGCGGTACCATAGGGGCCTTAATAATTAGAATAGGGTTTGGGGTATATTATAGTTACTATGATCAGAGTAAGGAACCCCCAAAGCCTAGTCTGATGGTTAAGGCCCGTTTATTGGAGAAAAAATGGTTTTTGCAGGGCTCTGGCCTTTGATTCGGGTGTTGGGCTTAGATGCTTTTAGGGGCATAGCTGATCACCTATACTAAATCTGGGTTCCTGATAATTTTATAGTATAACGGGCCCAAAACCCTAGTCTAATTGTTAAGGCCCCTGTATCATGGTGTGTGCGGCGTTGAATGATTAAGTTGCTTTGAGGTTTCTCCCGATAAGTATCAGACAGGACAGTAGAGTGGTCGATAACGGTGATAGTGCCCATGAGTGCTCGTGATACAGGTCAACTAGGACCAAATAGGGGAGTAGTAGCCAATGCCCTGCGGATAGTCGGGATGTCGAGCATCTTAGTCACACGTCAGTACTCGAATATTGCTGGTAGAAACATGTCTTCCGTCCGAGTAGTAGAAGCCTTTGAAAACAGCAGCATGACTGTATGATTTTCTGGGGCGCAGTACTCTGAATACGACTCGCCCTGATGGCTTTGTCAGGGGCTTGCGGCAGTCACCCGAAACCTTGAGAATCCTGATATCAGGCCGAGTCACTGTGGAGCCAGACGTCGGAGCAGAATGCCAACCGCACGACCTGCGAGGACCCGTCTGACTTGACTTGCCTAGGGCATGGGAGATGTAGGCGTAAGGGGTTCTGTTTTATGTTAGGGTTGAGCGCAGGGATTTGGAATTGCTGCAGGATCTGTTCTGCACGATGTCTTGTCATATGTGTGGAGAAGTAGCACTGCGATGAACCGAAGAGGAGTCTTGCCCATACTGTTCTTGCCACACACTTGCTCTGTACAAGTCCCATGACAATGCTAGTACTGCTGTTTAGGTGTTTGTGTTTGGGCGCCTGGTGTTGTTGTTGATGTTGTTGTGTAGCACACACTTGTTTGTGCGAAGTGACAACTTCATATCTCACTTAAACACCGAATCGGTCAGGGGATTGACTCACCGATTCATGTCGAATGATTGTATACTCCGTGGCCATTTTGGCGAAAGCTGTTACAGCTTGAGCGAAATTTTGTTTCAGTCCCCTCGGATCAGTCCTCGGCCATCGCCGCTGTTGGCGGCCAGTACTTCGAGGTCTACTACGACCGCTGCTTGCGGCCAGTACTTCGAGCACTACGGCTTCTCTGTCGGTTGTTGACAGTCTGAAGGAATCGCTCGAAGAATTCAGCCGCGAGCAAGTTCTCGAAGATTTCCAAATCGAGAAACCCGAGGATGTGACTTGGGGAGCTTGGAACAAACGACAGTCACGACAGATTCGCAAGGCCATCGACCAAATTTCCCAGTGCCGAACTGGTGACGACATTGTCAATCTGGCGGCGACCTTGCTTAAGCCGCCGACTCTCGAGGCCTTCCTCTACCTGCACATCACTAATCGCGACGACACCGCGGAGCAGTTGACGATTCCCTTCGAGGTCGTCGAGGCTTCTCTACACCCTGACTCCGACCATGTACCTCTTCCTCCAGACACCGACGCAGCCCTTCTTGCACATGAGACTGAATTGCATAATCAGCATTTGGCAGACCTTTTGCGTGATGATTTTGGCATGGAATTACATAATCCTGAACCCGCTGCCTCTAAAGCTCGAAAGCGGAACTTCGAAGGGCATCTCAAGCCCACTACTTCGATTACCATCGATTTGGATTAGTCACTTCGTAGCCATGGCACGTACCCGAGCTGACTCATGGTTCGATTTTCTCTGCGAGGGCACGCTGGTGAAGATGACGGCCCCTGTTCCAGAGTCGATGCTTAACGAGTACCCCGAAGTAGTCAGCGACACGGCCCAAGTCCCCATCTCTGAGATACGACGACAGCTTTGTCCCCGACTTCTCGAGAAGAAGAACTGTAACATGGCCAATTGTGGATACCTTCACCCCGATTTCCTCAACAAGTCGTGGGTAGTGCCCAACCTCATATGCCACAAATGGTTCCAGGGATGCTGCGAGTACCACAATACGTGCTGGAATCAACATGGCCACACGTTCGATGAAGCTATGCGACAAGCTTTCGTAGTACAACGACAGAATCGTCGAGGCGAACCACCTTACCATTACTCGTCGAAGAACGGAATCATCGAGCAGGTCAACCGAGCACAGGCTCGTGAGTGGATCATGGACTCGATGACCACGTTCCGTTCCGCCGAGATGCGCAAGTTCAACTTTGGCACAAACTTCTCCAGGTACTACGACTACGAATCGTGGGATAGATCTGATGCTGCCCAACAACTACGACAAGAGATCGCGGATGGCCTGCATCGTCGCGGACGCTCTCCTCGCAGAGTTCGCGAGGAATCTAGACCTCCGGCGACCTGGGGACAACACTCAACTCCGACACGGGGAGCGATTTTCCCTACTTCGAGACCCCGATGGCCCCCTTCAGCGGCTCCCTCGTCAGCCCCTTCTACAGCAGCCCCATCGACAGCACCTCCGGCAGCGGTCCCATCGACGGCACCTTCGACTACTCCGACGCCGCCGACACCAAGGAGACCTTTCTTCCAGGTCAGCACGGATACGGACTCCGATGCACCCAGCTTCGGCCGTGAACCCCGAACTGCTTTCCGCCACGGCGATGGAGCAGCCAGGGGATCACAACGACCGCTTTCTCCGGCGAGATTCCCGAAGAGATCCCAGTCACCGGCGAAGAGATGGCTTGACTCTAAGACCCCGGTGATCGTCGAAATCCCGGATGAGATCGCCGCTTCGACACCAGCCCCGACTCCAGCGGCCCCACCGACTACCACGACACCGCAGACGAGGCTGAGGTCGCCAGATCCTTGGCATGATGACGATGATTCCGCGACACCACCACCGACACCTCCGACCGTGGTTACTACAGCTACCCCTGCGACATCGATGAACCCAAGGAGCGCTGGGTCGGTGGCCAATTCCGCGAGTGAATCCGAGTGGATCAACCCATCCTTTGGGGCTGCCGCTACTACGACTCTCGTGAGCACTCAGACCAAGGCCATGCCCAAACGACCACACCCCGACGCCGACAGCTCCGCGGGGTTTGGAAAGGTCGTGCCGCCGAGATTCTCCGTCCACCCTGCTGTGGACTTGACACGAAACGACCCGAGGCAAGTCTTACGGCCACCTACCAACGAGTCGGGGGCGGCCTCTTCCTCGACTATCACGACCTCCTTGGGGAATCCTTACACGAGTGTACCGGTCGCGGTTCAGCCACAACCACCACGACAGTCATGCCTCGAGAGATTCCGAGTGCAGTGGCGCGACTCGCAGGTGGTGGAGAAGGGGCGCACTTCGATCGACGATGTCCGATCCAATGCACCGTCATCACACGAGCCAGTGTTTGGTTTTCAAACGCTGCGCCACTTCGACAACTTCCCGATGATGTCGTCGAATTTACAAGCGATGACGCCGGTGGGCGGACACAATGTCGCGATGTTGCCACCCGGCAACCACCCCTACTCCTCCTTCGCCTTCGACACTCCATGGGAGATCACATACGATGGCATTATCTACATCGAACAGGTACTCCGATGCCCTACTTTCGGGAGCTACCTTACCCAATACGGCCTTTACATCGACCTCCCGATCCACACCCCGCAAGACGACGTACTGCAAGAAAGGGTGTTGCTCCTGGGTGTCCCGAATAACTTCGTGGAACCCCGGACTACCTTGATCTACTCGATGGTGTGGCACAGCATCACCGCCTCTCTCTCCGACCTGAACCATACTTCGGTGGAAGATCGGATGAACCGACTCCGAATTTGGTGCCACACGGCCAGGAATCTCAACACCTTCGCGGCGCAGATGCCATACTTCGAGCCCATGCAGACCTTCTTTCGGGAGCAGGCCTCGGCGATACTTTCATGCACTTCGAATATGCTCTCACCGGCGATGCGAAGTGCCTTCGCCCAACACGAGCGAATGCGATCGATGATCGCCGCAGAGCCGCCGGCTTTCATCCTGCGATTCCGCGAGAACGCGTGAGCCTTTACACGAGGCCTACCCGACCTTTGGAGTCTCACGGTCGCCCCGTTTCCGCCTCGGCGATGTACGGGTGTTTCCGGGTCAGTGACCGTTTCGGCAAAAGGGGACTTCCGCCTCGGCGATGTGTCCACCTGACCCGTAGGTCTCAACCCCCGAATGACTCGTTACATACGACGACAAGACCAAATGTGCTCGCCCGTAGGACATGTTACTCGGTTGCATCAGGCTCTACTAGTTGTAGTGGGGCCTGCTCTCTCCTTGGAGATTGCTTGGCTTCCGTAGACTTCGACCTCTCAAGCTTGACTCGTGTTACCCGAACCTCCCGATCCACCCGAAGTGATGGCACACTCTCGCCAGTCCCCGATTGAGTCGGATCCGATTGAACAGTTTCCCGAGACATCGGCGACTCAGCTCGATCCCATCGAGCAGTTTTCCCAAATGCCCGGCAGCAGCTCCGGAGCAGTTTTGCCGGCCGCTCGATACCTCGAGGGTGTTCACCCGGACACCGATGAGGGCCGAGCACTCAAATTACAACGAAGGCTCTACGATGATCATCACACCCAGGGAGCCTTGGAGGTCATCGCGTTCAGACGAGCCTCCGAACAGCTCGCGATGTCATCACTACGAAAGCAGTTCCCGAACTCGTCAGACTCCGAGCTGGCGGCGATTTGGCGCCGACAACTTACCGGCGAGGAGGTCGACGAGAACGGCATGCCCATCGAGCTCATTGGTCCCGATGGGAAATCGATCGAAGATCACCACAAACGCGATGTCGACCGAGTAGAGATGTACCTCAAGTACTTCAGCACTCCGGCCAACGACAAGCTCCACGATGGATCCATCGATTGCACCTTTTGTGGTCTGCTGTTTCCACCTTACTATCTCCTCTCGGTTAACCCCGATGGCCAGGACGACTGGCGCAACATCCACTACAGGTGTTGCTACCAGTGCGCGACCGGGGCTAACGAGGACTTCGTGTGGTACTCCGAGAACTCCGACTTGTCACCGGCCAAGATAGGACTACGAGGCAACCTTCGAGACCTTCCCTATAACCACAAGGACCGTCGACAGCTTTACGATCGCGACGACAACCACGAAGTCAAGCCGCCTGGGTGGCACATCGCGATCGAGCGAACGCATGGATTCTACTGCAAGGTCTTCTTCGACAACTACTGGGATACCGCGAAGTGTCGTTGGGTTCGGAAGCCGACATTCGTCCGCAAGAACTCGACCCGCTACGACACGATCAGCATCCCCGACTGGTACACGATTTGCCAGAAGGTCAACTCCGTGCGCAAGCAGATCAACGTCGAGACCTCGAGGAAGCGGGCCGCTTCGTGGAAGCAAATGTGCGAGGACATCGAACGCGAAAGGCCTGGCGACAGCAAGTCGAACATTCGACGCGAGGTACGAAGTCGAATACTACGACTCACCGACATTTTCGTCGCGGACCTCGCCAAGCTTGACTCCGACCAGAAGCAGCGAGTGTTCCAAGCCTTCGCCCAGTGGGAGGTCACGACCGTCGCTCGATCCATCGACCCGAACTGGAACGCCGATGAGTTCTGGAACATGGTTACCGCCGAGGCCCCACTCACCGACTGGTTGTTTCGTGTCTCCGACAGCATCGACCAACACT